TAGTAAAAAAGGGAAGCACCAGGAGAAGGGGGTTGGCTTATGAACGGGTATAGAGAGGGAGAGGTGGGACACAGCCCTCCCCCCAACAGAGGGAGCAAGGAGAGGCAGCACAGCCAGCAGAGCTTGAAAGGAAGAGCGGGGCCAAAGTCTCTCCGCTTCTGGCCACGCTGCTCTCCCCCCAGCCTCTGAAGCAGCTGCAGCTCCGGAGTTGGCAGGCTGCAGCCGTGCCGCTCGGCCCCGCCCCCCAGAGCAGGCTGCGGACGTGCCTACCTGGCCCAGCCCGCTGGAACATGCTGTGGCCGCGCCGCCTGGTCTGGCCCGCCGGAGCAGGCTGCGGCCGTGCTGCCCAGCCTGTCAGTGCAGCTCCAGCCAGGCCAGAGACATCCTCCACTGGCCCTCCCCAGATAATTTGGGAAGGGATGGGATGGGGAGAGTGTGGGGGTCCCGGCCTAGGGGTGGGGTCATGTAGGGGTGGTCACAGGGATTACTCGCCTGACCCCCAGCTTCTCCCCCACACCAAAATTTCCTCACCGGTTGCTGTCCTGGCCCGTCAGGGTAAGCAGCTGGCGCTCCGGGACACTTTGTCTACTTAGGTTTACCTCCCTGCCTGCAGATGTTCGAGATAAACAAACCATCTCGGCCCACCAGCAGCTTATCCTGATGACCCAGGAGCCAAAGTTTGCTAACCCCTGAATTATAGGGTCGGCTTATGAACAGGTCATAAACATTTTCCATTTTTACTTATCCATCTTGGAGGGGTCAGCTTATAAATGAACCGGCTTATGATCGAGTATACACGGTATTTTAAATCATTTACGTGCTGTTTAGTTACAATTCCATAAATATGAAAAGCAGTTTTATTACCCACTTCATGTCAAAAACATATGCATCACTAATGGCAGAAGGAAGTGATAAAAGCTCTAATTTTATATACCATAAGGAATGAAAAAAGAAACTTCCAGGTATAGTAACAACAAGCAGAAGAAAAAATAACAGGTTAGAGATAGCAGACTGATGTAGTTTTACTGTAACATTTTGAATTTTAATGCGGCATCTTTTGTATTTTGAGTTTTCTAATATATATATGGAAGTTTTCTTCTTAGCATTGGCCTACTAAACCCAGGGTTGTGAGTTCAATCCTTGAGGGTGCCACTAAGGGATCTGGGGCAAAATCAGTACTTGGTCCTGCTAGTGAAGGCAGGGGGCTGGACTCGATGACCTTTCAAGGTCCTTTCCAGTTCTAGGAGATAGGACATCTCCATTATGGTAATTCAAACTAATTGATTTAAGTGTAGGAAATGAAGGGCAAATTTCTGCTCTGAAAGGTTCATGAATAGACGGCATAATCTTCAAGCAACTGTGCAACACAGTCAGAAATAGATCACTGAAGTCAATCGGACTGCTCACAGTGCATAACGGTAAGAATGCAGGATCAGGATTATTCCATAAGAAATATGGAAAATGGCAATTCCTCAACTTCATTCCACATGAAGCTACAATTATAGCTTTGGAGACTGCTCAAAAATGCATCAACAGTCATGATAGGGTAAATATTGTGCTTTAAAATTGCAATTATGTATTTTTGCCTATAATTCATATTTCTTTTTTGAAATAAATGTATCAGTACTATGAAAGAAAAAATGTATCTTAAAAAAGAACTCCTTAAAAAAGACCACTCTTGATATAACTTGCTACAAAATCATGAAAAATTAACAAAGACTGCAGAACCGCACAAAAAGTGCTCATTTAAGGACAAAAGCTATAGTCAGAGGAGCTTATGTATAGAATGTAAAATGTCAGTAGTCTAACAGTTAATAATAACTAAAGGACAGCAAGATGCTTTAGATATGAGTTATACAAATATACTTACAGGCTTTTGTTGTGGAGCAGTACTCACTAAAAAAGAAAAAAGAAAGTCAAACTCACAGGAGGATGTAAGTACATTTTTACAAAACGATTCTGAAATAAAATATAAATAGAATATATTGTACGTTAGTATTTTGTCTCCTTAAAAATATCCACAAACCTAAAACAAATAGTTGTCTTCATTGGAACAGAGGTGATATGCGGTGGATTCTCTATTACAGGCAATTTTAAAAGCAAGATTGGATGTTTTTCTAAAAGATCTGCTGTAGTTCAAACAGGAATTAATTCCGGGAAATCCTGTGGCCTATACAGGCAGTCAGACAAGATGAACACAGTGGTTCTTTCTGGTCTTATCCATGAATCTATGAACCTACAAACAATTCCCCACCTCATATTGTCTTACTGTTAACAGCCTGCTCATTTTCCTACTTTAAAAACAATTAGTTTTAAAATGTGCCCTCTAAATATAATGATCAATATACTATGAGAATAAAGCAAAAATCTCTTATTCAGAATAACACAGTTTAAACAAAATTATTCCACTAGCTGAGTTAGGTCAGGACTCTTTAGCAAGTCCTGTCTAGCCTCCCTGCTGCCAGAAACTTGCATGGATCCCAGCTACTCCTATGCAACTCAACTCCCCATGACCAGTTCCTGCCTTTCCACCAGGCTGGGAACCAGCAGTTGGGAGGAGGGGGCAGTGAACTGGCAGAAATGTGTGTTCACTGGGGCTTTGAAGGAAAGTGGACTAAAGCCAGAATGCAAAGAGTGACCCATCAGCAGTAGGGTGGGCAGTACAGAGAAAAAGAGAACTAGCCATGGAAAGTGCCACTGCTCATTTCCAAAAAGATATGACAAATCTGTAGTAGTTCAGAGAAGAGCAACAAAATTGATTAAGGTGTTGGACTGAACAGAATAAAAAAATCAATTCCTGCTTCGGAGTAGGCTTCCACAGAGTCAAGGTATGAGGCCCCCTTGAAGTCAATGAAGTGGGGCTCACAGCTAGGGCCAGCCTTCAGCCCAGCACGGACGAGCTGTGAGCCCAGCACAGGGCTCAATTTCACAGCAGGGAGCCTACCAGCAGTGTAATTGACATTCTAGTCAGTTTCACAGCTGCTATTATTTCACATTTCAATCTTGGGCTCTGGCTGTCAGCCCCAGGGCAGGGGGCTCAGCTGGGAGCCCCCATTCAGCTATCAGTACCCCACTTCAGATGGTGCAAGCGCTCCTGGTGAGGACACACACCGCGGGCAGAAGGAGGGCAGTGTAGACACAGCAGCCGATTTAATTGCTATGGTGGCTGTAGGTTGACTTGACTTAAGTTGACCTAATTTTGTGGTGTAGGCATTTGGGAAGGCCTGTGGTGTAAAGGGTCCAACTATTAGTAGAGGGAATGAGCTTCCCCAAGACAAATTAATCTACGTGAACATCTGACTCTATGAACACAGAGAGGGCACAAAACATATCACAAACTCTTCCCAGGGGTCTTTGAGAACCAGATTAGCCACGTGTAGGGCCCTACCAAATTCACAGCTATGAAAAACACATCACAGACCGTGAAATCTGGTCTTTTGTGTGCTTTTACCCTATACTACACAGAGTTCATGGGGGGGAGACCACCATTTCTCCAATTGGGGGTCCTGACCTAAAAGGGAGTTGCAGGGGGAGTTGTCAAGTTATTTTAGGGAGGGTTGCAGTACTGCCACCCTTACTTCTGCACGGCCTTCAGAGCTGATCGGCCAGAGTGGTGGCAGATGATTACAGGTCCAGCTCTGCAGTCAGCAGCACAGAAGTAATGGTGGCAATACCGTACTAGGCCATCCTTACTTCTGTGCTGCTGGTGGTGGCTCTGCCTTCAGAGCTGGGCTTCCAGCCAGCAGTCACCGCTCTCCAGCTGCCCAGCTCTGAAGACAGAGCCACCGCCAGCAGCAACGCAGAAGGGTAGCAGTACCGCAATCCCCACCCCCACTACAATAACCTTGCAACCATCCCACAACTCCTTTTTGGGTCAGGATCCCTACAATTACACCACCATGACATTTCAGATTTAAATACCTGAAATCATTAAATGTATTATTTTAAAAATCCTATGATCATGATATTGACCAAAATGGACTCTGAAGTTGGTAGGGCCCTAGCCATATGCTAGGTCCACTTTGAGCCTGGAAGTAACTATGCAATGGCACAGAAGAAAAAGAAAAGTCTAAAAACTCCTGAAAACACAAAGTAACTATTGGGAGAAAATGGAAAAAACTAAGAAAAGCTCTCTGGACATGAGCAAAGATCCCAATATTGCAGCTAACTAGGCAAAGAAAAGAACTGATGCAGATGGAGACTGCAAAGCCCTTTTACAGCTTCAGTTCTGAACAGCTGGTTAAGTCAGAGCATAGGCGCCGACTCCGTGGGTGCTCTGACGCTGGAGCACCCACGGGGAAAAAATGGTAGATGCGGAGCACCCACTGGCAGCTCCCCGACCTGCCCCCCCGCCCCAGCTCACCTCCGCCTCCTCACCTGAGCAGGCTGCCGCATCCTGCTTCTCCCCCCCTCCCTCCCAGCACTTGCGCAGCAAAACAGCTGTTTCGCGCAAGCCTGGGAGGGTGGGGGGAGGAGGAGGAATGCAGCGCGCTTGGGGAAGAGGCAGGGCCAGGGCGGGGATTTGGGGAGGGATCCAATGGGGCAGGGAGGGGCGGAGTCGGGAGGGACCGGGGTGTGTGGGGCCAGGGTGGGGATTTGGGGAGGGATCCAATGGGGTAGGGAGTGGGCGGAGTCGGGGTGGAGCCGGGGGTGGAGTCGGGGCCCGGGAGCGTGAGCTGCCACCGGCGCCAACAAAAGTTGGCGCCTGTGAGTCAGAGTGCTCCTCTAGATCTAACAGGAGTACTGGTTTTTAGCAGGTTCTCAAAATTCAACACCATCATATCATGTAGCTCAGAAGTGGAACTATGCAAAGAGCTAAATACTACACTCATCTTCAGTTAGTTCTGAGGAAGTGTTATAAGTAACAATTACCATTGGCTAAGAACAAACTATATAAATAATTCGATCAAATATCTTCATTGAAGAGAATATTAAGGTTGCACAGTGAGTCACTCAAAAGTCAGGAAACAACATCAAGGTTGCGAGCACAATCTTAACTGCCTCCCTATGCAATTACTATACAGCCTTTAGTTACATGATCACACATTATTTCAAAACCAACACTTTTTTTTAAAAAACTTTACGCATGTCTAAAATCAAGCATATAATATTCCAGATGGCTGACCCACTCTTGCTCAAACTTTTAAAAAAATCATCTGCAGGCAAAGACTAAGCCTGAAAAGTTTCAGTCTAAATGGTGAATGTTTTGGAAAATTGTGAAGACCTGAAAACAACGTGCTTGATTGTGGAAACATTTATGGAACCTTAACCGCAAAGATTGCCAGATTCCTGCTGTAACGACTACATTTATTAAAATACAACTCAACTATTGTTCCTTATACATTTTTCCATACTGCTATATAATAACTGTCTTAAATATTATCTTTTCCCCATTCCTGTGGCTGATACGGTGGATTGATAAATGACCAGGAGCCACAAGACTGATGACCATTAGAAAGCCACATTTCCTCTAAGTATCCCTTTACTGTTTCATTGTGAACTCTTCTAGCCATCCACACTGTGCAAATCCTTATCAGGAAAAGACGGTATAGTCCAATCTGAACCCTAGGCAAATTTCACAAGCTATTTTATATGTGAGTGGGAAGTATGCCTAAAAGAGGACACTGATGTATGTACAATACATTCACTTTTCAAAGGTCAAAGATCAGGGATTCCAAGACTTTTGTGACATCACTAGATCCAACTATAATGCCTAGATTAGAAGTCATACAAATTGAAATTTAAGGTAATGAACTTGGGACAGAATTGGAAAACAATTTAAAGTTACTAACTATTTTGACTATTGCAATATGGCAGGGCTCCAGTTCAGCTAAAAGTTGTCATTTGAGTTCCCAACTTGAAAAACATGAAAGATTGTTTAGGCACATCATTTCCCTATATTACAGTACTCTGAATACTGGGAGCATACCAACGTGAGAAACAGAAAACATCCCTCAGATGGCTTTCCTGTGGTCTAAATTAATACTTACATTCAACTAGGAATACATTAAAGTAATTAACATTCACATATTTAATTCAGTCTTTTAAAATATATAATATTCATTAACTAGAACAAGTTAAATATGATTATCATCTGTTTTCCAAAGCAGATTTACTTACAGCAAGCTTAACTCTATTACTGTACCTGCTGAGCCAGAAGGAGGAGGAGCACCAGCTTTCTGCCACTCTGTGGCTTCAGCAGCCATTCTACGCACATAGGCATCATCCACGCACATCAAGATATTTTCTGGTTTTATATCTGTATGGATGATCTTGCATTTGCTATGTAGATAATCTAAACCCTGAAGGACCTGTATACAACAAAATCAGTTTAATAATAATTAAATAATAATAATTTCATAGTCTGACCAAGATAAATACATACATTGTCTTACTGTTTAAATAATTATTCTAATTCAAATGCAGTAAAATATGAAAACTTGACTTCAATGTAGTATATAAGTATTTTATAAGATGTTAATATTCTGAATGTTCAAGCGGTCAAATATATTTTATGCATTGTTTTAAACTAAAGGTAATTTTCCTTAGATTTACAATATTATCTCAGCTTCCAATGTGACCAAGATGTTATGATGATTTGTCCACTTTTATCTATTACACCTTTGGCATTCCAAGTTTATTTGTTATAAAATCTTGGCCGTCACAGATTATCTAGCCCAGGGCACATTTTGTACATTATATGCAGGAAGCACCCTGTAAATTATCACACAAATCTACATAAATGCTGGTGTAAAATTGGTAACAAGGAAAAAATGACACCCTCATAATATTAATCGGCACTTTTACAGCACTGTCCATCAGAAAACCTTAAAGCACTTTACAATCACAAATGAACTAGGCCTCACAACACCATTAAGAACAGACAGGTTAAGTGAATTATCTGATGTTGCTGAAGAAACCTATGGCAGTGTGGAAAGTAGAATCCCTGTGCTTTATCTACAAGAACCCTGTGCCCCTCTAAACATTTTATCAAGACATTACACAGCACATTCTTAATCCAACCCTTCTCAGAATCATTCAAGATATGATGAATTTTAAAAGTTAAATGTGTGGGTTCAAAAACCTAATACTCAAATCGCTAATCTGGATTTGTGCGTGCAAGTCTGGTCCACTAAATTCCAAAACTTGCTTGTTTATTTGAAAAACCAACTGAAAGAGCAGGGATTTTTCTCTTAAAGGATAGAAACCCCAGTTTATCCTCAAAAGATATATGATGACAAGAAGTCCAAGTTTTAGAGAAAGGACACTAAAAGTAACATCCACATCAAGAAAGTGCTCATGATTAGAGCTTGTTGAGAAATGGTTTTCCCATCTTGAAAAATTTTTGAGATTTAAAAAACTCTCCTGCTCTGCACTGGAATGAAACTGAGAACTTTCAAAAAATTTTCACAAAAAACAGGGGAGAGATTCTCCACCCCAGAACTGTCAATAGCCTTGTCATTCAGGCACTCACCTAGGATGTGAGAGACCCCCAGATCTGAGTCTCTGTTCCACATCAGGCAGAGCAGGGACTTGAACCTATCTATCCCATATCCCAGGTATGCTCTAACCACTTGGCTATAGAGTCAATCCTCTCTCTTTCTCTCCCACACCATTCTAGTTTTCACCAGAAATTCTATCCTTGACCTGACAAACTTTCCCAATGAAAAGTTTTAGTTTTGACTAATCAGCATTTTCCAGTTAAAAACATTTAAATGAAAAATTCCTGACCAGCTTTACTCACGATTCCTCTACTCCATCTACCACAGCAGCTCCTCATTTTAACAATGTCTATATGACACAGAGACCAAGGCAAAGATTCTGAGAATACATTAAAGGCCCTAATTTTCCCCCCCCAAAAAACCTCTGCTTTAATGCTAGAAAGATAAGGAATTCAGTGAAGCTTAAGTAACTGATTCTCAGACATGGGGCTAAAATTTGCGATTGATAAAGTTAAGGATTTTTGCCCAGTTTTGGAAGTAGAGGATAAAACCAAAAAGCTCAATTTTTTATTGGACCTCTGTATTGTTAAGATTTAATTTTGGTTGGGGTTTCTTTTAAAAGAAATACATATTTTGAATCACATCTTTTGATAATTATTAAACTATTATCATTATTTTATTTATTTGGTTCCTGTTCTCCACTAATCCAGCTAAGAAATATTTTTGATGAGGAATTTGAAACTCTCAAGTGATAGAAAATTATTATAGAATATTTGATGGTAAAAAACCAATAACAACACAAAAATTTTATCTTGTTGCATTAGCAGGGTATATACATTAGACGGAAAATAGTTCTCACACACCCGCAAAGAGTCCTAAAAGCTTTAATTAAATCAAATGTATTTAAGAGGCTTGCTGGCACAATGATCCTTTCTATTATTGTGACATAATTTCAAATTATTATTTATGATATAAGTAACAGTGAATTTCATGATCTATGACAAAGAATTATACTAATGTTAGGATTTATACATAAGAATGTTCTTAGCCCCAACTTTAATCAGATAGCTATAATCTAAAAATAGAAGGTATGATGCTTCACTAAACCTGTGTGAGAAAAATATCAAATTCTATAAATATCTGTGAGGGACTGAGACCAAGACTGGGCATAATCCCTAGTTTTTATTTACATCATCTGGCAAGGGAAAGATTGAAATGGATAAGAAAAGCTACTTTTTCCTGGGTGTCAAAAAAATGCAGACAGGAAATATTCTGTTAATATTCCTATAAATGTAATTTAGGGTGATCAAACTGTGGTATATTTTCTCACTTGGAAAGGTCATATATATAAGAATTTAACTGTTCCACATCAAGAGATACTTTGTCAACACTTATCAGATTCTCTCTCATTGATAGCTAACCTTCCCTCCATCTACAGGGCCAGGATTGCAGACCATTATGCCTCTGAGAGTTGATTACTTACTACACATGGTTCATTTAAATAAAAATCAAGAATGTTCACAGATAGAAAACAAGATGCTAATTTTGGATCATTTCAATTTCAGAGCACGTTCCCTATCAGATAGGCTAGTGCAGGGATCGGGAACCTTTGGCACACGGTTCGCCAGGGTAAGCCCCCTGGCAGGCCGGGCCAGTTTGTTTACCTACCACGTCCGCAAGTTCGGCCAACTGTGGCTCCCACTGGCCGTGCGCTGTCCCAGGCCAACGAGGGCTGCGGGAACAATTATAACTGATTGTTCACTGACTCTTTTTATTTTTTCTTAATGAAGTGTGTGTGGATTGTTTCAGCTTCTTTGTCGGAGCTTAGCTTTAAACTGTATATTTTTAGTAGGGGCTCATTTAATTTATTTGTATTATTTCTGAATTTAATTTTTAGTAACTTCAATTTGGAAGTATTTTGGCTTTTGACTTTTTTGCTCATACTTTGTCATATTTCAAAGTCTAGGGATTTGCCTTCTTTCCTGACAAAATTTGGATTAAACTAGTTTTAGACCTATTTATTATTGAAAGACTGTTCTCAAAAGTTACTTGGATCTATATTACCAGAACCAGTTCAATCATCCCTAGATAACCTATTAAGGAAATCAAGATTAACAATGATCATGCACAAAAATATATGTGTTGATTCATCAATTTATGCAAGCAAGGCCAATGGGAAATTATCCTAGGAAAAAATACACATTGATCTCATCTGGTTGAGCTTATAGATGGACATCCTAAAACAAGAACATGTCAATTAACTGAAATGGATACAATACAATTAGCTATATCCAGTATGTTCCATGCAAAGTGTGCAGGCCATCTGTTTTGGGAATGCCTTACTCTGAAAAAGATATTGGGAATATATGCTAGAGAAAACTGACCATAACACTAATCATACACTGCCAGTTATTTCTGAATTATGTCTATTACATAATAGGGATAAAAAGCAAAACTCAACAAAAGAATGTCTAAAATGGATCAAAGTAAGTAATCCACATCTGTACAAATCCGACTCAAAACTAGATGTAAAGGATAGATCACATCACTATCTGAAACAACTTTGTATGAGAGTATAAAATAAAGTTTACATGGTAAAGAAGAAATATTTAATTCCCTATGGAGATTATTCCTATAATGTTAATAAGGAAAGAATACGTACCTTCATTCTGCTTTTCTGAATCTTAAAAATTTTTCACTCCTGGATCTCAGCTTCCTAGTGAGACACAGGTGGAAAACCACAAGCTCTGGAAGTTTTTGGCCCCAAAGAGCAGCAGTTGTGGCAAAGTGCATCTGTCAACTGCCTCCCATCTTGGTGGTCCCAAACTCCCCAGAACCACGACCAATTACAACCAATTTCACTTTAACATTTCAGTCCGATACTAATTCAGCAGGAAATCAAGGTTCCCCAAAAAGCCAAGCTGATCACACACACACAAAATTTCTTCCAAGGCAGAAAAAAACACATAGATGTAAATACATCACGACTGGTTAAAGAAAACTCCTCTGAACTCCCAGGGCAAAGGGATGTGTGTGTAAGAATCCTGCAAGATGATATCTTCAGAGAAGAATTGCACACAAGTAATTTTCCCTTCTCTAAAAAGACCATCTTTGAAGGAATCTGGGTAATAAGCAGGGCCAGCTCTAGGATTTTTGCCGCCCAAAGCAAAAATAATTTTGGCCAACCCCCTCCCCCGTTCTTTAATTACCCCACCCCCGGCCCCGCCTCAACTCCGCACCTTCCCCAAATCCCCAGCCCTGCCTCCTCCCCCAGGCTCTCAAGCCTAGGAGGGAGGGAGGGAGGGGGAGAAGCGGCGCCCGTGCCGCGGCTGCTCAGGATCTCCCCCTCCGTCCCAGGTTTGAGAGCCTGGGTAGGTGGGGGAGACTCCGAGTGGCTGCGGCGCGGGCGCCGCTTC